TTACGAATACGAATAAAGAAATCTCAATCCCGTGGGGAATGGAGGAATGAGTGTGGGGTATTGTTATCATGGCACCAAAGAGAGTGAAATTAATATGGAGAAATGCGCGCCTGCCAACATCCCAGATAGTTGGGTCTATGTAGAAGGATTAACAGAAAAAGATGTAGAAAAAGATTATGTATTCCCTACTATTAAATATTCAAGAAAAATCAGTTTTTTGAATTATCAAATGTATTCAGTAAAAGAATGCAATACCACTGATTGTGGAGTTCAATGTTTGGAAATGCCGAAAAACCAGGACAACTCGGACAAATGCGAAAACATTTTTGATCGCAATACTAATACTATTTATCACTCAAAATGGACAAATGAAGGAACTACTTTCCCGGCTACTTATTTGTTCAATTTCTCTGAGACGGCAAAATTCAATTCATTGCAATTAAAAATGAGATTTGCAAGAGACTGTTTTGGTCTTTTTGAAGTCTTGTGTGGAGATGAAAAGGAGGAATTCACAAAAATTCTTGAAGAAACGAAGAATTCAACAGAAACTACAAGGACTTACACTTTCGAAGAAATATATCAGTGCAAATATCTCAAATTTGTAGTCAAAAATAATGCACAAAATCAAAACTTCTTGGTATTCCAAGATCTCAATTTGTTCCTTACACAAAAATACAAAAATTTGGCGAAACCGACGAGTAGGACGTTTAATGTAAATGGATTCAAAGTAACCAAAAGAGCCGGACATTTTGAAAATAAACTATTTGAAAATATCGAGGAGGGAAAAGGAGAAATATCTTTTAGAATGAAAGGAAAACGGTTTGGTATTTTTGGAGATTACACTGAGGATATGGGGACTTGGGAAGTTCTCGTTGATGGAAAAGAACCCCTAATCACTCAAAGAATGGAATCAAAAAAAGAGCTGCCGAGAACTCTTTATGACATTTTTATTTTTGATGAAGGAGTCCATGAAATCAAGATGAAAGTTAAGTCTGGATTTGTAAACGTCGACGTAATAGGATTTGATTAATTATTAATTCGTTTTTTTGTTATAAAAGGTTTTACAGTCAAGATAAAAAGTCGGATGCTGAGAAAAAGGCGGATGCTAATCTAAATATAAATTTGTTTTGGTGTTTTTCATTTTATTAATTATTTTAATGATTATTTATATTAAAATTTATAGTAATTATATAAATAGTAATATAAGTGGGATGTGGGTCTTAAATTAAAACTAAATATTTACTTATTTTATTTAAATATTTTAACAAACTAATAAATGAAGTTGAAACTCAGAACTGTTATTATCAAATTGAACAACAATATCACCTGTTTGTGCTTTTAAAGAGATTATTAAAGTGTTGGGTCTATTTTATTAATGAAAGATATATTCAATTATACATCCACATCAACTAACACATAGAACAGAGAAAGTGGAGGGAAAATGATAGTATTACATGAGAACGATGGAAGTAAAAGAACTCAATTGACGCTTCTACAAACTTATAAAATATGATTTGTTTGGAAGAGGCGGTATGGTTTTATAATTCAAGGTGATGTCCAAGCTTACTTCTCCAAATCATTCCAAAATATAAATTCACACCGTTTCCATTGTGGAATGGTGTTGTGTGTTGACTACAGACTAAATGATTGTTTAAACTTGTTTTATTTCTTACTACTTTTTATTTAGCATAACAGCCGATAGTTTTTTATGTCTGCTTATATCAATGCATATAATTATTTATTCATTGTGCTATATGGTTATGATAGTATTGAAAATAAACATTAAACATATAACTTATAACGTCTTGGGAGAGTTGTCATTCGTCAAGTCAACATCAATATACATTTAAAAATTAATAAATAAGAATTTATCAAAAATGAAAGATATGAACAATTAACTGTTCAACAACAAAAACGAATGTTGTGATTTAATTTTTTTGTTATAATAATAAAAATACTATAAATCAATCAAACTTTTAGAAGTATTAAGAATATTCATTTTTTGTACATATTATTTTTTGTTTGAAAAATAACCAATAGTTGCGAGCATCCGGCTTTTTCTTGCATCCCCTTATTTCCCCCTACTGTAAGGCTGTTTTTATATTTAATAATTGTAGTGAAAATGAAATAAACATATTAACACTTAAAATAACGCCCTTATTTTTGTTTTGGCCTATTTTTACAGGGATATTAATCCAATTTTTGATGATTTTCCTTTTTTGGCTTGTGTATTGTTTATGCAAATAATATAATTTCTAAAAAACTGGAAATTTATTTAATAAACTCAAGATTTCCCGATTTTTAGACCACTTGAATTTTGTTCAACGTTATTTAAAGTGTTAAACAATATACAGTAAAAATTCTATCGGTGTGTGGAGTCATGAAAATGGTTTTCCCAAGGTTAGTGTTGTCGAAACACTCCCCGAATATTCCAGGAAATTATTTGGGGAATTTTATTTTTTTTATCAAATTCCCGAACCGATTCCGGAATCAAAAAATATTCGGGAATATTTTTAACCTCGGTTCGGGAACATCCTGATTCCCAAACTTAAAATTGGTTTGTTCCCGAACCAATAAGTTCCCGAACACACAAGTTCCCGAACTTCATAAAAAAAATATTCCCAAACTTTTGATTCCTGAACACGACGGTTCCCGAACCGATTCCGGAATCACCAGTATTATATTAAAAATTTATTAATAAGCAAACTAAAAAAATAACAACTTTGTTTTAATATTAAAATAGTAAAAAAATTAAATTATTCAAAAAACAATAGAATAATATTTGTCCAACCATAAAAAACTTGTACAGTCACA